TTTCCCGCCGCCACCCGTGTGCTGTGAGTATCGCCCCGAGGGCACCGGGAGGTGGGACCGGGTGGCAGTGGGAACTCCCTGTCACAAGGGAAAGCCAGGACAGGCGGGCGGGAAGCCTTCAGCCTCTCCGGAGGCCGGAGAGTGGGGTGCTCAGGCGTCTTGATTTAGTGGGCTTTAGGGCAAGAGGAGCGGAGCCCGTCCCGGCGGGCCGGCTGGATGGCCTAGCCTGGCTCTCTGCCCTGCTGCCTGGTACTGAATGGGCCCAGCAGACGGTCTGTCCGCTCAGTTACCAGCAGTGGTGGAATGGGAACTTTGGAAAGCAGAGCAATTGTCTCAAAAGTCCCCAGAACCAGCCTGAGAAGGCAGGCGGCACCATTCCTCTGCAGGAACAAAGGAGGAGCAGGTGTTTTGTAAAGCTAAGGGCTCTGAACTGCCCATTCCAGTCCAAACTGCACTCAAGATACTTTGCAGGACAGCAGGAATGGCGGTGGGATGGTACTTTTTCCAGGGAAGACCATGCCTCTCTTATAGGGGGTGAGGACAGCAGCTAAGCCCAAAGGGAATGGGGAAACCCAGAAGAGATGGCAGGTGATGTCATAGTCCTTCATGCTCAAATAACCCCAGCGGTTTGACCCTTTAAGCCTCGGCTCCACTACGCCGTGGGTCAGGCAGATGTCAAAGAAGTGTGCTGCTGCCTCACTACAAAGATTTAAGAAGAATCCTAATTGTTTAGCCCAGTTATTTAGTCCAATTATGGCTGACTTTTGCTTGCTTTCTGTCCATGGTTTGATGGGCTTACTGCCTGGTGACCCTCCTCACTTTTCTTGCCCGAAATACCTTTTCAGAAGGATTTAGCAGATTATTTGCAGCAAGGCCTTGTCAGTGGCTGCTAGCCAAGCAAAACCTCCATGGTTCAACACAGTTGAGTCCAAGATGCACCTCCTGTGAGGAGGCTCAGACTTTTTATTTAAAGCCAGACTGTGCTTGAACATGGAGGCTTCAGATTGTTGCTGTTGTTTAGTCGTTAAGTCATGTCTGACTCTTCGTGACCCCTTTATGGACCAGAGCACGGTAGGCCATCCTGTCTTCCAATGCCTCCCAGAGTCGGGTCAAATTCATGTTGGTCACTTCGATGACCCTGTCCATCCATCTCGTCCTCGGTCGTCCCCTTCTCCTCTTGCCTTCACCCTTTCCCAACATCAGGGTCTTTTCCAGGGAGTCTTCTCTTCTCATGAGATGGCCAAAGGCTTGGAGCCTCGGCTTCAGGAGTACATAAAACACAACATAAACTGTTGTGGCAACTCAACAACTAACACGTTTTATTTTGTGCAGGCTTTAGAGCATTTCTCCCACTCAGTTCCTTTCCTTTCCTGTTAAGATCTCTCTTTATTTATGGGAGAGTCATATTTCCACTTTTATAGACGGCTGTTCTGCGAATAGTATTGTATATTGGGATTTAAATAAAAAAGTATGGAAAATGATTGGAAAGGTTAGGCAGCTAGCAAAGAGCCACACCACCTAAAGAGAACTGTCTAAACTCTCTACCTTGCCTGTTGCTGTTGCCAGTGAAAACCTGCCTTTTAAAATTATTATTATTATTTTTGCATTTGCACCAGCTTCTCCTAATGAGGCAAGGACTGGTGAAGATAAATGTCAGAGACCAGCTAATGAATGGCTCCTTGTCTGAAAGGGTTTGTTACGACAGCCTCAAAGCTTTTGGCAAGAGGAGGAAGGGAAATGTTTGGGGACCGGGTGCCTCAGGTTCCCGTAAGGGAAATGAACGTCCCCCAAGCTCTGCTGGGGTGACAGGTCTCTCTCACCCACTGCTCTTCTGCCCGTGGCAGCCAAACAGGAGGCACATCATGTAAGCTGGACATGAAGGTAACCCCAGCTTGCCCACCAGCTGGGACCGATGGGCTCAGAGGAAGGCCTTAGGTGGAAGGCGATGCGTCGGCAGGCTGATCCTCTCTGGATCGCCGTGAAGTGCCCTTGCGGACGGGGTGGCGTGATCAGACTTGCAGCGTGGAGGACATTGGAAATCGATCCCCCTCTGATCACTTGGGAGCCCGGAAGAGGGGAAGGACTATGGTTCCTGCACTATCAGCGACAATGACTTTAACAAGAACTGGAGAGGGGAAATTAAGGCAGGTCTGACTGCTGTTCGTCTTTGGGGTGACCTTGGAAAGTTCGGCCAGGGCAGAAGTAGCTGGTGCCCCCTGTAGCTAGTGGGGTCACTCCAGGCCTACCTCCTCCCATGCCTAGTCACAGTAACCCTTTTATCCCCATCTTGGCTGATTGGGAGGGGTATTGAGGATCAGGTATGGGTGGCCCCCCATGAGCCCCAGGAGCTAGAAGCATCCTTGAGCTCAGGACTGCCTGATGCATCACAGGACATGCTGAGGTGCCATCCCTGGAGCAGCCGAAGAGCCCTGAGGATGATGCACAGCTTTAGAAAGCTTAGCTGGAGGGCAGGTTTCGAAAGAGAGGTAGAAGCTGGGAAGAAAGGTGAGGAAGAGGAGGCCCTCACCTCGGTGGCCCCCCACTTTGTGGGTTTCCCGTGGGTCCCTGGCTGGCAACCCTGGTGCTGGGCATGAGATGCTGGAGTGAACTGTCCTCGGGGTTGACCCTCAGAAGGAGTCTTGCGATTTGGTTCACCTGACCGTAGCAGATTCTGTCACATTTGCTTTTCTGGTTTGTGTTGTCTCTGGAGAGAGTTTTGTTTCTGAATTAAAAGTACGCTACATGATTGTTTTGGGGAACAGTACTCCCTTTGATGATGATGATTATTTTTTGTAACAACTGCGCTTTTCAAATAATGAAACTCAAAGGGATCTTGTATAGAAGGGAACAAATTCAGAGTGAAAAGAACAGTATAGGTTTAGTGGCAAAAATGTTTACAAGATATTTAGGGTGGGATTCAGATTTTTTCCCACCTGGAAAAAGATTTAGGCTGATGAGGGGGGAAGGGATGTGTGTATACACACATATGAACATGTACTTCATTGATCTTTGAATCCAGGAAGATTCAAGAATGCCATTCTTCAGGTAGAATGTGAACTTCCCACAGACTTAACAGAATGTATGGAACTAATCAAGTGAACCATTGAGAAATCTGAGGCGTTCAAGGCTTGTGTCACGCAGATGTGATGGGAGCGCCCTTTTGCAAAAAGAGTTTCTTTCTCTGTGTGTGTGTGCTTGAGAAGAAGAGAGGGAGACGTGTTTGCCAGATGCCAGGAGAATGGACTTGGGACAGAGATGTTTTGTAATATTAATGAATCCTTTAAAAACAAAAATTGCGCACAATGGAAGTGAACTTGACAGAGTTGCAGATGAACATGATCGCAACATCCCGGAGTGCGCGAGGGCTCTGGATTATTCAGAATGGCTGCAGAGCTGAAGACAGTTATGCCTTTTATACCATATTTCTCTGGCTGATGGCGTATCTCCATTTTTAAATATGTGCCAAAAATGTATAAGCATAGTTTTAATTTTATTTTTTTTTAAATGCCATGACTGGATGAATTCTGCTAATGTTTCCAACGAAGTATTGAGCCTTTGTTAGCTTGGATTGTTGTTTAAAGGGGGTTTCCTTTTCTTTGTCGCTTGGTTGTTGATGATGAGAGTTGGTTCTCAGAGGGCTGGAACATGAGAAGGGAAGAAAATACATGCCTTGCACCTTTCTACATGTATATCAAATTTCACCCCTTATTAAATGATGGTGTGTTTTCTGGATCTTTGGATGGTAGAGATGAAGGGTGAGGTAGTGTGAGCTTTCTTTAAGGGTCTTGCAAGTCAGCCAAGAGGCTGCTGATCTTAAGATGGCATGTTAATAGGTGTTCTGATGATTGATTAGTTGTGACATTTTTTGAAGAAGTAGCCACACAAGTCTGTTTCTGCTTATAAACAAATGCAAAACCCAACCCAGAGTTTTGTGGCACCTTTAAGACAAATAGATTTATTTCAGTGTGATCTACTGGCATGGAGAATACAATATTTGGGGCACAGGTTTAGTGTACTTGATTGTGGGGGTGAAGAGAACCTGGTCATGGAATCATAGAATCATGGAGTTGGAAGGGGCGTCCTAAAGCCATCAAGTCCAACCTCTTGTTCAAGTCAGGAATCCAAATCAAAGCAAATCGGACAGATGGTCGTCCCATTTTCTCTTGAATGCCTCCAGCACTGGTTGCTTAAATATGGCAATACGTAGGTAGAATAATTGGTAAATGCTGACCATCTGGGGAGAATACACAAGCGTTTGACATTTGTGTTTGAAGTGTTGAAGCAAGCAATCATACTAAAAAGTGTTGGTTGTCTTGAGGCCAGAGTCTGTATGAGAAAGGCAACATATTTTTTTATTTTATGGAAGATTGTTATGGAAGCCCTCTGATGAACCTGTATACCGTTTGCTAAGAAGCCCCCATCACTGTTCAAGCAGCTGGTTGCAGACTGAAATGTATGGCTATATCCCAATTCAGCCACCCTCTTCTGAGGTTGCCATTTGAATTCCTTCCCCACCTCATTAGCCACTTTGGGATTGCTGGCAGAGGAGGTGGGGAGTTGAAAAGTTGCAGCCTAAGCTTTTGTAAGTTGCCAGGTGGGGTTGTCACTTCTATGGTGCCAAGCATTTCGCTGCAGCGTCATGGGTCGCGTCCTACGTTTCATGGTTCTTTAGCTCGGCCAGTGACCTGGACATTTGCAGGTTCTTAGCACAAGGTCATGGCTTCCATGTGTCTGTGGTTAGGAGGTTGGTGGGCAGGATCCAGACTTCCGAGGCTTGAGAGCATGAGAATGGAACCATTCCCCAGGTAGCCTCAGTCTTTTGCATTGTCTGCTGGCTGACAAACACCGGCTGATGCACATCAACCCATCATGCCCAAATCCCTCATGTTAAGGACAGTGAGAAATTATTGTTAGGAAATCTCTGAAGTTTGGCACAGAGTTCAGTCTTGAAAACAGAAATTCACGAGGCCCTTGTGCCTGGATAACAGCAGGGCTAGGTTGCTTTTATGAAATCTTAAAAAGA